GTCATCAAAATGACGCCATGGTACTAGCCAGTGCTGAGAGGCATTCACCCTTGATAATATTCAAAATGGTGGACCTCCATAAGCGCACTGGGTAGGACCGTGCCAACCGGTTTCTGGTTGGGGGGTGTATTCCAAAATTTGGCCCCCCTTCCATTCCAGAACCTCAAAAAAATTTTTCCGGAAAGCAAAAATTTTTCCGGAGAATGTTGACGACGTGGAGGGAGGGGGGGGGAGGGTCAACGTTATGTTTTCAAAAACAAAAGTTCCCAAAATCTTTCGCAAAACAACATTTCCCTGAAATTTCCATAATTTAGCGAACAAATCCTTCATTTTTTAAAAATTTTGCAATTCCAGCATGCCAGGGCCGCCTTCCCCACAAGTTGGGCCCGCTTTTTTACTTTTTTGGGGTGTTACACCCCCACCCATCCACCCCCAAGGTGACACGGCCCTGGGCGTCAGCATTTTGATGACGAATCATATGGCAGCATCATGTGGCAGCTGCAATGCATTGCAGGTAATCCACAACCAAATTTGTTAATTGTCTTGAATATAGTACTAATATAGTGATGGGTTGTAGGAGGTATTTGAGTAGTTGTAATGAAATAACTTGCAATACTCTACCAATAAAAAGTTATACACCGTAAACCTCCGACTATAAGCCCCCCTGAATATAAGCCCTGCCCCCTGAATACAAGCCCCCGAATATAAGACCACTAATATAAAGCCCGTTTACACTTCACGCCTCAATTTTGGTACGGCACGGATAAAATTATGAGCCTGTAACACTTTTTATTCTTTTGACCACCTTAGGTAGTCCAAGAACCAAAAAGTGGTACGGTACCAAAAATCGAGCGTAGTGTAAACGGGGCTTAAGTGCCCCGAATATAAGCCCAGTAGCCCACTACGTTATTCAACATTGACATTGTCTTTTAAAGGGACCCCCTACAGTCATTTTTAAGTTGACATATGCACCACAGCATGCATGCGCCTTCCGGTGTGCGGAAGTACTCATACTCATGGAACTGCATGTAGTCCCCTACTTAAGGTGACTTTTCAACTAAAAAATGACTGTAGGGCAGAGAATGATATTTAAAAACATGGTCATTGTCTTTATAGCCAACTGTGTTAATCAAAGCACCTTATTAATACATGTTTATTTTTCTGTTTATGACTGACTTGCTTATGCCTGACTTGTTTAATACTAACACAAAGGATCATCCATGTACTAGCCCCCGTATATAAGCCCCCCCCCCCTTGTATAAACCCGTCAAAAATTGCTTACAAAAGTATATAATCCCAGGACTTATAGTCAGATGTTTACGGTATTTGGCTAGGTGATTGGCAGCTGATGGGTTATTACCCATTCTAATAACAAGTAGGTTTCACTACTGACATGTAATTTTAATAGATTAATTTTAATAAACACCTGCAAACACTTGTAAAGTAATCAAAACATCGCGAAATATTTTAGGTGATATTGTTCGATTTTACTACACTGTCTGTTCAAAACAATAGCTCGACAAATTCTAACAGATTTTACAATAAAACATTCGCGTCCGATTATCTGCGAGTGCTGAGAGATATTTGTTATACATATACCAGTCTACAAATTTACAATATGGAACACCATATTGTAAATTTGTAGACTGGTATATGTATAACTAGAAGTTACTAACGCAAGGAAATGCTGCCTCACCCCCAAGGGATGAAAGGCAGCATTGCGCAATTTGCTGAATAGGAGCTGTTTTTATGATCCCGCTTTGCCAGGACGAGATATGAAGCGGAATGATTTCGATATATTGAAATAAGTCACAGCACACAATTCAGCAAAAAACTTCATTATTTCAATACATCAAAAATCACCCCACCTCCCATCATGTAAACAGCCCCTAAAACGCATGTTCAGGAAGTAGGAAAGGTGCAATTCGAATACCAAACATCTTGCACAATGTCAAAAGGTCAGCTAACTATTCTAATGACCTATTCTAATTCTAATACAGTCAGTGGTGAAGCTAGGTCGTAGGTTCAATTCCCACCTTGGCCAGGCATATTTTTCAAGTTTGCCCGGTGTGGATATACACTCAGAGTAACATCACAAATATCATATTCACCTGAGTACATTATCGGTCATGCTACGGTATACAAGTTTTTAATAATTTGCATTATTCAAATAGATCCAGGTTTATAGGTGCGGCATGACCAGTTGACATTGTAGCCAGCTTGCAATTGAATAATGTACAATATCATATTATATATCAACCATAATAATACTTAAATGAATCATTGGACATGTAGAATTTAATAACAATTTCATATACAGAAATATTAAGTCAGTTTTTGACCCAATTATCGTTTTAATGGCACCTTCAAAGTAATCTGTGATCAGACCTATAAATAAATAAATAGACCTGATACAAACCTTAAAGACCATGTAAAATCCGTTCTGTGCATACGTTCTGTGCAGGCTTACATTCCAATAGTTGGGACCCGACCGTTGGAATGTTATTAATATTTTGTATGTTTTGAACTTTCTTGAAATGAATCTCTATAGTCTGTATTCATTTACAAGTATAGCGAACCAGAAGAGTGTTAAAAATTCAGTATAATATATATCTAATCATATTTTGTAACTGTAGCACTGAGTTCAAAATGTAAACAAAGCGTTTGTTTACATTACAGACTTTAGATTGTCTTTAACAAAAGATCATGCCTTACAATCGTTTTTCGGGTGTAAATCTGATTGGTATATGAGACAAAAAGATTTTTTAATCTGTCATTAGATTGGTTGGTGCTAATTATATTATATTGTTGTTTATAGTGATCACAACTATAATTAGATTGTTGTTGCCCTTGTGTGAAATTTAAATTTCTCCTGCAACATTTTGATTGGATAATAAATATAAGTTTGCTGCAAATAG